TCCCAACAAACCTGTTAGCTATATGGGAGGCAACACTGGTCTTGAACTCCTTTCTGGACACTTGTAGTGGGGAACTGTTGTAGACTATGTGGAGGAGGCCTCTGACCTTCTCAGGAGGGAAGCAGACACCTGTCTGAGGTCCCTGGAACAGCAGATCAGAACTGGAGCGATGCATAGAGAGCCCCAGTGGTCTGCCATTTGTGTCTTTGGCCCTTAGTACCAGTTACCTTTTTAGTTTTTTATACAGAGTCTTGTTATGTAGCTCTGGCTGGCCTAGAGCTTGTTATATATAGGCCAGGCTAACTTTAAATACATGGTGTTTTGTCTGCCTCTGCTTTTTAAATGTTGGGATAACAGACGTGCCAATATATGGCTACCTGAATATTTTTATATATCATATCTTTCTATAGTCATATCTTCATTTATATTATTTAATAGCCTTGTAAAGTTCTATTTGTATAGGCTGCAATAAAGCTTATTTTGCAGGTACCTTGCTTTGTATTATAACACCTTATATGCTGACATTTTATGACTAAATGCTATTTATCTGGGACTCTTCCTAAGGCGCTGTGTTGGCTGTCTCAGCATGATGCCAGAAAAGTCAAATTACTAGTCTATTAATACTCAGAAGCAAAATAAACCATAAAAAGCTTAAAAAGTTCTATGCCATGTAGCAACTAAAAAAGAATATATTTAGGTAATTTCCTTCTTTATCAGAATTTTGAAAGTCTGATGAATTTATAAACTTCATAAGCAGTCTATAAAGCAGAAGATTTTAATAAACTATTTAACAAGAAAATGTTATGTTGGGATTTAAGGGAGCCTTAAAGACATCACCTTTTTCTGCTACTTACCTAAATAAGTGTGTCTCCATTACTGATATAGTATGTAGCAAGGAGCAGGATTGTATCTTTGAGCAACAGCTTCCTGAAGGCTGACTTGGCCATCTACTGGCACCACTGTGAGCCACTTTCATGTGGTCTACCTTCAAAAACTTGCACCATGGATGAGGAGAACAGAACAAACTCTGTCCTAGGAAAAGTTCCTGGTGCTCCTTCATTCACTCTTTTGGCCTAGGAAGGAGTAGGGGGGCAGAGCAAGACTACAGCTGTACTTCTGAGTGGAAGGAAATAATGAGGAGTGAGGAAGAATCGCCCATCCTTCAAAAGTAAGCAAAGCTCACCCAGAGCAGGGTATTTTTAGTGACCTAAAGTTCATACACATAATTCTGGCCAAGTCACATCAAATGTTAAAGGATTTTAAAAATTTAGGCAAAAATTCAAGCTGTGCATATTTGTAGGTTCCACTTACCCAGTATTTGGAACACAGTTCTGATCAGATCTTATCTGTAAGAGGACAAATTATGAAACACCTGACGATCTATGATTATGTAAATACAAGACAAAAAATGTTAGCAGGCTGGACAAAGGAGTTCCATAGACATTCCCCTAAATACCACAGGCTATTGGTTATTGTCCAGAACTGAATGGTAAGGTCCTGTTGCTGAAGACACAATTATTTTTTTTGTGTGTGTTTTTTTGTTTTTTTTTTTTTTAACTCACAGAGATCCACCTCTGCCTCTATATACCAAGTGCTGGGATTAAATGCATGTGCCACCAACCAGCTGATGACACAACTTCTTATGTCACAAACACAGAGAGGTTAACCTGGTGCTTCCCTAGAAGCTTCATCCCTTTATAGTGCTAGAAGGTACTTTGCATGCTGGAGGAGAAAAGTGATAATCAGTACCACCCGGCTATAAACCCTGCAACCTACAACAAAGAACTTCTTGGAAGATATACTAATGCAACAGTGGCACAGATATGGAAGTAACCCACCACTTGATTGGAATCACTCCATGAGATGGAAGACATATCTGACACTGCTGAAGGAAGGTGCAAAATCCCTGGGTTAAATAGGTCACAGGCCTATGGAAAAACCTATTATTATTACTCTGCTAAATGACTCCTAATGACATACTGCTATTGCCATGATCAGAGCACTGACCAACCCTCATCAGAGGAGCTTCTTCTTGAGGTAGATGGTGATTCACACAGAGACCCATAACGGAACAATGCAGAGAGTGGGGACTTCGGAGGACTCAGCCCTAAATGGGATGTCTTCATCAAATCAATCAAATCCCTCCCCTCAAGACTTAGAGATTCATGTGGAAGAGGACATGGAAAGACTGTAAGAGCCAGAGGTGGTGGATGATTCCAAGGAGATAGCATCTTTCAAATACACATATGAATGGCAGAGACTGTGTGACAGCATGCACAGGTTAAATCAGACAAAATCCCAGCACTGAGAAGAGGAAGTAGATACAAAGTCTGACCTGTAACCAAGAAATTGTTCACAACTGACATTTTCTGGGGAAGGGGAAATAAGTTTTCTTCAGTGGTGTGTTACTGGGCATGTGAACCACACTCTAGGGCAAGTCCCATCCCTGGAGCAGTTAGTCCACAAAATGGACTCTTGGTCAGTTTTTTTCTTTTTCTTCTATTTCTTTGTTTTTCTGAGAGAAAGAACATTGAGGTGGAGAGAGAGTATCTGGGAGGAATTATATACAAAATAATTGTAGGAAAAAAAATGTAAATAAAAATTAAAATATTAGGATGTTGAACAGTTGGCTCAGCAATTAAGAGCACTGGCTACTCTTCCATAGTACCTGGGTTTGGTTCTCAGAACCCACATGGAAGCTCACAATTGCCTCTTACTCCAGTTCCAGGAGTTCCAGACACCCTCTTCTGGCCCACCCTCACACATACAGGCAAAACATGCATGCATATAAAACACTAAAATAATGACAAATATTTAAAAATGTCAATAGATGCTTATACTGATTATAACAGAAAAATTATGAATGACTATTTAAACCTCTATTAACGTCTTTCCTTGTGGGAAAACACCTACTTTTTGAATAAAGATCTCTAGTTTTGAGAATCATTATTCATAGAACTTCTGTGAGAATTTAGTATTGCTTCAGAACTCAGGATTCCAAGGCTGGAGAGATGGCTCAGTGGGTGAAATGCTATTTGTGAATGGATGCCCTCACTGGGATGTGGAGCACACATCAATGATGTATTAAGTAGCCTCCTGTCTGTATTGTGCAGATTCACTTTACTAACTGAACTTTATTCAACAGAGAGGACTGGACACATGGCTATGAGGAGGACACCTCAAACACCAGAATTTCTATAAAAGTAAGGGATTGTTTTTGTTCTCATTGTAAGATAAGTCTATGTTGCCTAGGCTAGCCTTGTACTCACAGGAATTTTCCTGCATTAGCTTGGGTATTGAGATTATAGGTGTGTACCCAATCAAGATTAAAAAAATGATAAATCACTTCAGAGTTCACCGGGATCATAATAAATAATAACAACCCTCCCAACAACAACAACAAAAAAATCAAAGCAAAACAGCTAAAAACCAATGTAATCAACAGACTGACATAAGGAATAATTAGTGCTATAGTTTGACCTAAAAGCCTTAAAGCTGCCGAACATACCACAGAATAATTAATTAAATTGTAAAAGTAATGCCTATTTACAGAACTCTAACAGAAAACTTTCAAAATTTAAAAATAGCACAATTTTGCAGTTCTAGTTTTATATAAACATTAACCTTTTGTGTACATACTGTATCAGAATGGAAGGCTAATCAGTTAGCTTTGCTTACAAAATACAACAAGCTTTCATAGTGACAAGAGAATTCTTGCTACTATAGAAAGGGAATATGCTTCCATACCGAATGCCAGTGCTCATGTGTCCTGGAGTATTAGCTGTAGCCAAGTAACTGATTTTGGCTGCACAACTAACTCTACAGGTGTGGGTGAGTGTGGATGAAGGCTGGAAGGGACCTGCAAAAACAAGCCACTGCTGTGCTCAGGTGGGAATAATGGATGCTTTATTTTTTTCTTTACACACTATCTTACCCTTCAAAGGAAAAAAAAAAAAATAACCAGTTCAAAGTAATCACTGAACGGAAGCGAAGCAAAGTGCAGGAAGAAGGCAAACAGAGAAAACAACTTCCATGACAAAAAGTGTCTTATTCATGGCTGCTGAGGTGGGAACACGGGTTTAACACTGGTGTCTGAGGGGCAAGGGGGAAGATGCTTACAGCCCTTAAAACACGTCTCCCTCTTCCTGCAACAAGTTTCATCTAGCCAAAATAGCCTAGCCACTCTTCTGGGTCACTAAAGGGCAAACTTGGCTCATTAAATATATAAGCAAGCTCTCCAAATGCATAGAGTAGAAAAATATTCTCTTCTGTATGCAGGGATAGGTATTTCCAGTAAAACCCACACAAGTCTCCCCTAGAATTCCCTTCCTTCCTTTACTTGGGAGAGACTCATGGAAAACGTCCTGGGTCTCCTCGCTGCTTCAAACAGAAAGGCTGGTCACTTCCATCACCTGCATGTCTTGTCTGTCTTTGCACTCACCTAAGGGAGGACCCACTGTGTTCAGTCACATCATGAGGAGGTTGGTGGAAGGCAGATATGTCCTTGGCTATTTATGTCAGGTCCGAAAGAGGTAATTTTCCAAAAAAGGTGGTTTATCAGAAAAATTTGTTCACCTTGATTTTTAAGATTTACTTTGTATTTATGTGTTTATGTACACATGTGTATGGTGCTGGGAACTGAACTCCAGTCCTCAGAAAGAGCAGCAAGTGCTCTTAACTGCTTAGTAACCTTCCAGCATCTTGACCCGGCTATAATGTGACCCTTAGTGACTAAATGCCAACTGAGGCCCACAATGACCACCTGAAGAAAAAAACTTCCCAAAGCCTTTCCAATGATCAAAAGCTAAAAGCAGTCAGGCAGTGGTGGTGCACACCTTTAATCCCATCACTTGAGAGATAAAGGCAACCTGAGTTAGAGGCTAGCCCAGTGAGTTCCAGGCCAGCCAGGGATACACAGAGAAACCCTGTCTCGAAAACCCAAAAACCAAACAAAACAACAACAAAAAGGGAAATTTCGTTTGGTCAGCTTTATTCAACCAGAATTCTTGCAACAACAAAAAGGCTAGAGAACATTTAGCAAAAAGTGTGGCACAATTCCAACACCCTTAGGCAGACAGCCTTGCTGTAACATTCTCATGGACTGAAGGATGTTTTTGCATCACTTCTGAGAATGCTACTTTCTATAAGGCCAGGGTACCTGAGAATTAACCACATGCTCAAGACATGTTTGTGGTTCTCTTTTTTTCCTGAGACTGTCCACAGCCCATTATTTGCTTCTCATAAGTCTCTCACAGGAGGGCAGGGCATCTTGCCTTTAATAGTATCTAGCACAGGAAAGTGCTAAATAAACATCAACCGAATGAATAAATAAATAAATCTCATATAACCCAAAGTTCTGTTCAGGGAAGGAAAAAACAAACAACAACAACAACAACAACAACAACAAAAAAAACCCTCACAAAATCAAAGACAACATGAAAAACAAGAAAGATAGCCAATACTCCCCAACAACTGGGGTTAACAATAAAACCAAATCAAACAAACATTGCCTCCCTCTACTTCAACTGCCATATTCAATAACTGATGTTTGCTTGAGACTGAAAATACTTGACTGATTTCAACTGAAATTTAACATAAAAATTGTACTCTGGCTAGGAATGGTGGTTCACACGTTTAGTCCCAGCACTCAGGAGGCAGAGGCAGGTGGATCTCTGTGAGTTTGAGGCCATCCAGGACATACAACGCTATACAAAGAAACCCTGTTTTGAAAAACCAAAAAATGAAAATGTACTCTGGAAGACTCACAAACAAAAGCCCCGTTACTGTACCAAATTGCACAGGAGCCTAGTGCTGTCTGCTTCAACAAGGAGGAGACGTTCCTGAATATACCAGGTGAGTGTCCAGGGTCCCATACAGTGAGTGCAGCACATTGAGGACCTTCTCCTGAATGGTGTCAACTTGTTCAGGAGGACAGTAATCATCCAGACTTGACCTGCAGCCAAGAGAAAGAGAGGAAGGGTTTGTGAGTGTGATCACGTCATTAGTGTATTAGTGTGGAGGGAGGGACAGCCTGTGTGTGCTGGTGTGACTGAAGACATTCGGGTGCCTGAGACCTGGCAAATGTTTACCTACCTTAGGTGCTTGACAAGGCCTATTCTTTTTCTAAAGAACATTGCAAGTTTCCAGCCAAATCTTTTTTTTTTTTTTTAATTTATTTTTATTTTATGTGCACTGGTGTTTTGCCTACATGTACGTCTGTGTGAGGGTGTCAGATCTTGGAGTTATAGTTTTGAGCTGCCATATGGGTGCTGGGAATTGAACCTGGGTCCTCTGGAAGAGCAGTCATTGCTCCCAACCTCTGAGCCATCTCTCCAGTCCCACAAGACTTGTTCTTGATCATTATTTTAAAAAAGCTTTCCAATAGGACAGATACAATTACCAATTTTCTGTACTTTTGTTCTGAGATAGGATGTTGCTATGTGGACCTGGATGGGCTTGAACTGGTTATGTAGACCTGGTTGGTCTCATGTTTTCTGTGACCTTTCTGCCTTTGACTTTCAAGTGTGTATGACAAGCATGTGCTACCATGGATGAACATGCCATACGTGCATGGCATGCATTTTCCCCACAGAGCCATCTACCCAGTTCATGTCCTACATGCTCTTCAAACCTCACAAGCCCCATACAGGTGACAAAGTGTTGTTTTAGGTTAAGAGAAAAATTTTTCCTTAAAATTTTATGTGTTTGTGTTGTATGCTCACACCCTTGTGTGTGAGCATCCACAGAATCTAGAATAGGGCATTGGATGCCCTAGAATTGGAGTTGTGGTTGTGAGCTACCTGCTGTTGGGTGCTGGGAACAGAACTCAGGTCCTCTGCAAGAGCAGCAAATGCTCTTAACTGCCTAGCCATCTCTTCTGAGTGTGTGTGGGGGCAGGGTTGGGGTTTTAAAACACACAGCTTTAGGAAAGCTCTGTTCTTTCACCTTTACTAGCACCTAGATGCTGCCTGCATGCTGGGAGACGTCATTCTGTAAATATGTTTCTCTTATTGGTTAATGACTAAAGCACTATTGGCAAATAGGAAGTCAAGATAGGTGGGACTAAGAGACAAGGATGATTCTGGGAGATGTAGCAGAGAGGAATCAAGATTTTGGGACTTGAGGAAAAGGTCTGGGTCCTCTCTCCAGTAAGGTAAGATCATGTGGAAACACTTAGATTAATGGAAATGGGTTAATATTTAAGACAGGACTAGCCAATAAGAAATGCTAATAATAGGTCAACAGCTTTATATCTAATACAGTGTCTCTGTGTGTTATTTGGGGCTGACGCTGCTTTGGGAGCAGGCTGGTGGGAAACACCTGCACTACTCCTGAGGAGACCTACTCTCCATCTTCAAGGCTGGCAGTACTGCCCCTTGCACACCTGATCTCCTCTTCTGATTCTGCTATATCAGACTCCTCTTACTAGAGTCTTGTGACCACACTGGTTCCATTCATGTAATTGAGGATAACTCACTTCAAAATCCTTGCACTCATCACACTGCAAAGTCCTCACTGCTGTGCAGAGGCAATAAACACATTGACAGGGTTCAGAGTGTGGGACTCGAATATCTGAGATGGACTGTTATATTCAGCCAATCACACTTACCTTGCAATTGTTACAAGAGTAGGCTTTGGAAGATTTTTCAGTAAACAATATACAGACTGAATAAGACACTCAATTTCTTCTTCTGTACTGACATGATGAGGGAGTTCTGAATAATCGCAGGTTAGCCCAGCCTGATGAACCTGAAAATAAATTAGAAAAGACACCCTGAGCTGGGTATATAGCTCAGTGGTAGAGTATATTCCTACTAGGCATATGCATTGGTTTCAAGGCCCAATACTGAAAACAAAGACTCGAAATGATACTTGAAGACTTTATTGATTTTACAAGATTCTTAAGAGAGTGGGCAGTGAGGAGATAGGTAGATTTTTAAAGCTCAGTGAGCCAAGCTGAACTCAGGAGGCGAAAAATAAAGGTAGACGGGGGCAGTGAGACAGCTCAGCATGTAAAAGTGCTTGCCACAGAAAGCCTGGACCTTAGGTCAATCTCAGGAACCAATGTAAAAGCAGGAGAGAACCAATTCTATGGAGTCTGACCTCTGAGAACGAGACAGAGAGAGAGAGAGCAATCAAGTAATGCTTCAGGCATACTTACCTGAACACACATTTGATTATGTCAATATTTTCAAGCCCTGAGTATCATGCACCCATCATTCCTTTTCATGTTATGTGTATAGGTGTTTCGCCTGCAGGCAGGTAAGTATGCGTACTACATGTGTGCAGTGCCCACAGAGGGCAAAGGAGGACATCAGATCATCTGGATCATGTGGGTGCTGGCAACTGAACCTGGGTTTTCTGAAAGAGTAGCTGTGCTGTTAACTGCTGAGTCATCTCTCCAACCCCAACATGTGTTTTTGATAACACCATTTTCAGAAAATAAGCCTCGGCTCAGCAAGCATTAACCATGATATTATTTATTTTGTAAGTGAAGATTAAGTCAGTAAACACTAGCTAGAATAAAGTGGTACGACAGCATTCTACAACCAAAGAAAACAGTAAAACACCTTTTACCGATGAGGGCAGATTCAGACAGAAGAGCTGGGATCTTAGCTGTGGCATCTGAAAAATCTGACAGATGCACTTGCTATATGGCCAAGACTGCCTTTGAAGGAAGCATGTAGTCCAGGCTAGCCTGGAGCTTGTTAATGGAGCCTCCACTCCCAGAGAATGGGGAGTATAGTGAAGTCCTTCCTGCTTCACTTAACTTTTAAAATTTTAAGTTTTCACAAATACTGGGTCAAAAAGGAAAATCTATGCTGTAAGGACTATAAGGGGATGGAGTCAGAGTGAGAATGCTGTAAGGACTATAAGGGGATGGAGTCACAATGCTGTAAGGACTGTAAGGGGATGGAGTCACAATGCTGTAAGGACTATAAGGGGATGGAGTCACAATGCTGTAAGGACTGTAAGGGGATGGAGTCACAATGCTGTAAGGACTGTAAGGGGATGGAGTCAGAGTGAGAATGCTGTAAGGACTATAAGGGGATGGAGTCACAATGCTGTAAGGACTGTAAGGGGATGGAGTCACAATGCTGTAAGGACTGTAAGGGGATGGAGTCAGAGTGAGAATACTGTAAGGACTATAAGGGGATGGGTCACAATGCTGTAAGGACTGTAAGTTTTTGTCTCACCACTAAGGTCTGACAAGTGGCAAAGAACTAACATTTAAAATGTACCAGATTGTTTTCTTCTTTCTCTTTTGTTATTTATGATCAGGTAAGTTTTCAGAGGAAGGAAAAGAACCTAAGAACTAACGGTCAGGTGCGGTGGCATACCCCTTTATTCCTAGCACTTATCACAGGAAGTTTGAGACTAGCCTGGTCTACATAGCAAGTTCCAGGTCAGCCAGGGCCACACAGTGAAACCTTCTCTGAAAATAGAAAGAAAATCAATAAATAGATGAAATTATAAATTATAGACTAAATTATGAATTATGGATGGTGAGGTGAGATTAGACTATTGACAAGCACAATAAAATATTTACCATTTCATAGTCTGGTACTTCCATCCGTGTTTTCAAACTCTGTACAAGCGGAACTAGTGATTCCATTCTGGAAAAAAGTCAGCCCAGTTGTTAAACAGCAGAATAACCTTGACTAGCAATAGCAACAAATGGCATACTAGATACAAGTCGTCATCCCCTCCCATCCTCCCCAACCCCCAAGATAAGGTTTCTCTTTGTAATAGGTCTGGCTGTCTTGGAAGTAGCTCTGTAGACCAGGCTGGCCTTAAACTCAGAGATCCGTCTGCCTCTGCCTCCCAAGCAGATTAAAAGCACACGCCATCACTGCCTGGCTAAGTTGTTTGTTGTTTTTTTAAATCATGGATTGGGGTTATGAGTTGTGATGGATAGTTTTATGTCAATTTGATACAAGCTAAAGTCATCTGAGAGAAGGGAAACTCAATAGAGAAAATACCTCCATAAGATCAGGCTGTAGGCAAGCCTGTAGAGAATTTTCTTAATTAGTGATCAATGGGGGAAGCCCAGCCCATTATACATGGTTCCATCCCTGGGCTGGTAGTCCTAGGTTCTTTAAGAAATCAGGTCAGTCATAAGGAACAAGCAAGTAAGCAGCACTCTTCCATGGCCTCTGCATCACCTCCTGCCTCCAGGTTCCTACCCTGTTTGAGTTCCTGCCCTGACTTCCTTTGATGATGAACTGGGATGGGATGTGAAGCATTAGCCAAATAAACCTTTCCTCCCTAACTTGCTGTGGTCATGTTTCATCACAGCAATAGCAACCTTAACTATGACACGAGTACATAGCTCAGTGCTTGCCTAGCTAGTATGTACAAGGGTCTGGGTTGAACCCACATTCCTATATTAAAGTATTAATGATTGAAAAAATAGAGCTCCACCATGGGTACATGCTTCAAGTGGGTTGGGAGATGAAAGATAAAGTTGTTCAATACCATTTTCTTTAAATTAATTTGAAACAGGGTCTCACTATGTAGCCCTGGCTAGCCTGGAACTCAAGGAAGTCATCTTGCCTCAACCTCTTGAGTGCTAGGATTAAAGATATTCACCACCTCACTTGGCCAACTTTTAAACAAAATTTATTAATATTACTGTTACTTTAGAAAAGTAACTTTATTTCATAAAGCACAGGTTAGTTTGCGACTCTGCATGCAGCTGATGACCTTCAACTCCTGATCTTCCTGCTCTACCTCAAATCCTTTGACAGAGCACATAAAAAATACTCAATAAAGACAGTGGTCAACACTGGGTGTCTTTAGTTAATTTTTTGAGATAGGATCTTTCTCATCATCAGTTAGGCTGCTTGGTCAGTGAGCTACAGTGATACTTTACTCCCGAGCCTGGGTTTTTAAATAGATGCTCAGGACCTGAACTCAGGTCCTCATGGCAATGTGGCAGGCACTTTACTGAGTAAGCCATCTCCCTAACCCTTGATTCTAACTGATCTGTTCATCCAACAGGCTTGGAAATGTAGCTAGAATGGACAACTCATGATTTGGGGGGGGGAAAACAAAAAAAAGGTAAGGGGATCTTACCCAGGGTTTGAAGCCCATCTCTGTACGGTTTCTTCACCATCACCATCACACAAATCAGCAAAAATTGCTTCTAAATCTTCTAATTGATGAGTTCGAGTATCAACAATATCTACCAAATCTTCCTTTGAAAACATTGGAAAACTGAGATTATAGTTACTTCAAAAACCAGGTAAAACAACTTATGAAAATATCAGTTAGCTTGGTTAAAAATATTTTCTCTGTACTGAAGCATTCACTAAAAATTATACATATCTGGCAGGGGTGACACACACCTTTAACCCCAGCACTCAGGAGGCAGGGGCAGGTGGATCTCTGTTAGTTCAAGGCCAGCCTGGTCTACAAAGCTACACAGAGAAACCATGTCTTGAAATAAAATAAGATACACGTATGTGTGAATATCTACTATATGCACACAAAGAATCTGGATAGTGTTACATGAACTCTTTCCTGCCAGTCACCTGGGTCCCACCTTTGAAATAAAATAAGATACACGTATGTGTGAATATCTACTATATGCACACAAAGAATCTGGATAGTGTTACATGAACTCTTTCCTGCCAGTCACCTGGGTCCCACCTCCACTTCAACCCCCAAATAACGCATGAGACACTATAGTAATTATAACGGTGTTGGCTGTTGACTAGGGCTTCTTATTGGCTAGCTCTGTATTAATTATTAACTCATCTCTATCAATCTAAGTATTTCCACGTGGTCTTATCTTACAGGAGAGAGGGTCCAGTCTGGATCTCTTACTCCTCTTGAGTCCTACTCCTCTGCCTACATTTCCCAGAATCCTCATTTTCTAGTCCCACCTATCTTACTTCCCTATTGGTTAATAGTGCTTTATTCATCAACCAATAAGACAAACATATACAGAAGACATCCCCATCAGAGAACATTTAAATAAGCTATAAAATACTATCAGAGCCAAGCAAGGTGGTTAACACTTACAATCCTAGCACTCAGGAGGCTGAAACTGAGACTGGCTAGAACTACACAAACTCTCAAACCACCTAAAAACGAAAGTATTCAGTGGTAGATAAAGTGCAGAGTTTACCTCGGTAAGGTTACTGTCAGGTTTTTTAAACTGGTAAAGCTCCTGTAGAATTTTGTACTCATCCTATAAGACAAAACAAAAACCCCAAGGTTAGGAGTTTCCAACAATATGTCTCTGATACCCAGAGAATATTTGAGATAATATCCAAAGGTCTGTCTGGGAGAATAAGGCACACTGTATACTTTAGATTTCCAAAGCAGATCTAATTTTTCAGGAAAAGTTCGTCCAGTTGGGCAGAACACAGTATAAAAATTAGCTAATAGGTTAATGGATCATAAAAGTATTTCTAACACTATACCATTATATAAATGGATATATACCAAGATCTTAAAAGACTTTAGTTGTTTATGGGAGTAGTATGGAACCAGACTGTGCTTCACTGATGGTGACAGATACCCCATGGGTACCATGCAGCTACATCCCTAGCAACAGAGAGACCTCTGGGATACAGAGGCAATGCTGACTTGCAGAATGACAACACAGAACCTGAGTTAAGAGAAAGATGCCTCATGCGACTAGATCTTAAAGTTAAACCAAAGAAGCAAGTTTCTTAAAAACATAACTAGACAGCTTCATCTCCAAGTGGCTGCATAGGGAAGAGCTAGAAGGGTTTACAACAACACTGGGGCCTGTGATCAGTGCTTCACTGACTACAACAATACTAGGAGCTGGGGCTCACTCATTGTTTGAGTACTTACTTTGCAGCCCTGAGGATTGAACCCACAACCCTGAGCAAGCTAGGGAAGTGCTCTACTATTAAGGAACACTCTTAGCAGGTTGTGGATGGCTGCTTACACTGCAAGTCAGAAAGGCAAGTACCTTTCCTAGGATGTCATAGCAATAGAATACAATAGATGCAACAAATTGGAATAACCTATTATCATTCTTTTTTCAGAAACAAGGATTTATATAGCCCAGGCTGGACTTTAACTCATGATCTCCTGTATCTACTTCCCAAGTATGTGCCACTAAGCTTTGCATTGTTATCTTTGTTTATATTAAAATATAGCTGGGCCAGTGAGGTGACTCAGAGGATACAGTTGCCTGTCACCAAGCCTGATGAATCTGAAACTGACCTTGGAAAGTTGTCCTATGACTTCCACAAGTGTGTTGTGGCATGAGCCCCCCCCCCCATAAAAATAAATTCATGTAGTGAACAATAAAAATATAGCTAGTAAACTATAAAGATTAGATATCTTTACCTGGGATGTTTAGAAGCAGAAGTTCTATCAAATTCCAGGAGTTTTTCGGATTTTGGAATATCTGGGGACTTTATGGGTGCACTTCATCATGGTATGTACAAAGTTTTGGATTTTGGAGTATTTTAGATTTTGGAATTTCTAATTTGGAATGATAAGCTTGTATATAATCATGCAATTTTCAAGGTTTATGCTTCTAAAATACCACATTTACCTGAGTGAACATTTCTTTGAAGGGATTTTTGACAGAAAAAAAATCCAAGTCAATATCTAAAACAAAAGCATCTCCATCCTTCAGCATTTCCAGAATCTCTGCAGTGCTGGCTGTGCTTGGGCATTGCGGCTCCTGGCAAGCGTGGTCACTTCTTGGCGTCACTGCTTCCCCTTGCGGTCCTTCTGAAGAAGGGTTCCCATTAGCAATGGCAGAGCCCTCTCTACTGCCCAGTGCCAGCTTGGGCTTCTTTGCAGAGGACACATTGTCACTGTCATTTTGATTGTTACAGAGTTTGTAAGGTTCTATCATGATCACATCCAACTGTAATGGTTTTTGGTTCTCTAGCTGGTCTGCAGGTACAAACAGACCGTCACTTAGGAAGTAATAATCGGTACTGGTAACCCTGGGTCAAAGGAAAAAAATGCTTTAAGGAATGAGCGTATTAGCTGACACTGCAGAAATAAGACACCTGTGACAAAAATAAGGGACACTGACACTTGTACTTATTTTCCTCACATTCTGAGCTGGCACACCACTGCCCAAAGTAAAGACTACGTATCTTTTAGTAGTCTACTTTGCAGGTAGATGCGGCCACCTCAGAAGTTCTGGCCAGTGACTGCGACAGGAAAACGGGTGTATGGAGCACTGCTTCCCCATCCTGGCTGACCAGTCCTGAGCATGGAGGTGGAAAGTTACAATGGTTGTTGCATCTGTGAGGACTCCAGAGATCTTGCAAAATGAAGACAGAAGGAGCTAAGGGCGGTGACTCATGTCTGTAATCTCAGAGCTTGGGAAGGTAAGCCAGGGCTGGTGCAAGTATGGAACCAGACTGTGCTACAAAGTGGGACCTGGTCCGTGCGTGCGCGCGCGCACACACACACACACACACACACACACACACACACACACACACACACACACACGGTATGTGTGTGGTGAACTCTAACTTTAGAAAGAAATTGTTACTCAAATATGAAAACAAAAGGCTGGAGAGAGATCAGATAAGTTAAGAGTACTTGCTGCCCTTCCAGGACCAAAGCTCATTTCCTAGCACCTATAAGAGACAGCTCACAACACCTGCAACCTAGCTCCAAGGCAGCTATCCCCCTTTCTAGCCTCCTTTGGCAAATGCAGACATACATACACATACAAATCTTCAAACATGTAAATAAAAACTCTGATGGGAGAGGTCATTCGGTAAATATGTTCTTATTGGTTAATGAATAAAGCACTGTTGTTCAATAGGGAAGCAAGATAGGTGGGACTAGGAGAGGTGGAGGATTCTGGGAAACGTAAGAAAGCCTGGATATGATCTGGCATTCTCAGTAAGATAAGAATATATATAAAAATACATATATTAGTAATTATGGGTTAATAATTAAGACAGAGCTAGCCTATAAGATTCTCTAAACATTGGCCAACAGCTTTATAACTAAGAGTGTCTCTGTGTGTTATTTGGGGCTGAGACGGCAGTGGGACCAGGCTTGTGGGAAAGTGCTCGTAACAAAATTCTAAGGAAAATTTGTAAGAAATAATTTCTCTGAACACATAAGTTCTTCCTGACACATTTTGTAGTTTCATTTGAAAATATAATAATCACAGTATTTTTAACATGAAAGCAATTTCAAAAGATCCACATTTAAAATTCAGTTTATGAGTTCTAGATTTCTGTTTTAAATATTTAGTTTCTCTCTCTTTCTCCCCCCCCCCCCCGTGTGTGTGTGTGTGTGTGTGTGTGTGTGTGTGTGTGTGTGTATGTGTGTATGGAAGTGTGTAGGTACCATGGAGGTCAGAAGGGAGTACTGGCTCCCACGGAGCTGGAGACACATGTGTTTGTGAGCTTCTTGGCCTGGGTGCTGAGATCCCAACTGCAGTCATTTGATAAAGCAGTAAGTGCTCTTATCTGTTGAACATCTCTCCAGCCCTGATCCCATCCCCCCACCCCCTTTCCTTTTAAAAGAAACTGAATGTGACTAAGGTGCTTATTGTAGCATGCAACTCTAGGGTTCAAGTGATCTTGCCTCAGCCTTTCAAGAATTCTGGGAAAACAGAATACTGGGACAACAGATTTCTGATTCTAAAAAATATCAGTATGTCGTCAGCTTTTTGATTATATTATGCCTTGGACAGTACTTAGAACACTAAGTTCAAATACATGATTCAGAGGCATACTGTGTTGTTTTTCATTAAATTCAGTAGCTGCCCCTTAAGCAACTGCTGTCCTAATAGGCAACTGCAACTCCAAGGTTTGGCTGCAGTGGCCATAGCCAGGTGGGAATTGTACTCCGTCAGGCACTGGTTCTATTTCTGCTGCTAAAGGGAACTTTTTCTAGATCTCTATCCCTTTATAGAACCCAGGATTCAAAGGCTGAGGTGAAATCCTGGTTGCTCAGAGAGGCTGAGTAGCAAGCTGCTAACCTTCTCTCTTACCTTGCATCTTCCCACAAAACCGGTGTCCTTCTGCTCTGGCCCCACTTAAGAGCTCTAGCTACACCTGGGTCCTCCCCACCACTTCCTGTCTGCTAGTTGCTGACTAAACCTCCTGACCCAAGGTTAAGTTTATTTAATCAAACAACTGTACCACATCTTAAATTACTACTCCACAACTACTCTCCTAAACAAAAATTATACATACATTTATCCACGACTTGCCCACACTTAATATATATAGCCTTAAAATTACTTGAGACAGGGTCTCACATATCTAGATTGGCCCTGAACTACTAATTCTCCTGTTTCCACCACCACCCCCCCCCCCCGCAAGTACTGATATTATGGGCGTATAATGCCCATAATGTGTTGAGGATTGAGTCAGGGCTTCAAGCTCCCACCCCAGCCAGCCCTTATAGCTATAAATTAAAAAAGGATAGTTTTCAAAATGCATCAATGACATAAAAATCAACATCCTGATGAAGACAAAGACTGTAAATTTCTAGTCAGTTTGCGGTACGCCTGCCAATGTGTGTCTGCTGAAGCTCCCTTTAGTCTTTTGCTTGTCTGAAGCTCACTAATAAGCTGTGCCTGGGAGCCATACAGATCTCCACGGCTCTGCCTCCTCAGCACTGGCATCAGATGTGCTGCCATGCCTGGCTTTTTCATACAGGCTCTGGGATCAAACCCAGGTCCTCATGCTTATAATGCAAAGTACTTTACTAACTCAGCTATCTCGGAAGCCTCGTATTCTTCCTAATTAGCAAATTTTACTTTGCGTCTATTTCTGCAAATAGATAAACTCAGATTCATGTCTACATGCAATTGGCTGTTCATACATTTTTACTTGCTGGACTAACTAAATCATGAAGTAAGCACAATGTTCCCAAAACTGTAATTATATAATGAGTTTCCAAAAATATCTGTGATATTCTGTGTCAGAATAAGGCCCTGTCTCAGAAAATCAAAATCATGCCCCATGGTGTGGTAGTGAACCCCTTTAATCCCAGCACTTGGAAAGTACATTTCTGTGAGTTCAAGGGCAGCCTGGTCTCCACAGAGAGTTCTAGGCTACCCAAGGCAACATAAACTGAGAACTGTCTGAAAATAAAACAGAAAACCTCTCTCACATATATATATCCATATCAAGTGGGCACAGTGGTTCACATCTTTAACCCCAGCATTTGGGAGGTCAGAGAAGGGCTGTTCTGAGGCTGTCAAATAATAGTAACAACAAAAAACTGTCACGCCTATACAAAATGATTTGATTTTTACAGGTTCTATTAGGTTCACTCAACATAATGAACTCACTTTTTTTTTTATATAGACTGGTATTATATACAATATTTATTATATGTTGAGTTCTAATTACTTTTCAAAAATTACATAGTAAATACGATTTTCATAAATCAAGATGACATTACTCATATAAATGAAAAAAACATATAATCATCAAAACGGACACAGAATTAGAGGGCACATTTTCCATTATCACTTAGGGCCTAGAAAGTTATGTGCACTGATTAAAAAGTTCTTCCTGTCCCAAGAGAATTTAGAACGAGACTGCTACTTTTAAAGACATTGTAGTAATATAAAATAGAGGATATATTGGTTAAATGCCACATACAAAAACTCCGACACACATATAGCTCAAATTGGAGGGCATAATAATTTAACTTAGACTAAATACTGAAAGTCATAACAATAAATTTAAAACTCTAAATTTAAACAAAAACTGTTTGTTTGTGACAGGGTCTCATGTAGCCTCAACTGGTCTCAAACTCAGTAATGTGTCTGAGGATAACCTTGAACCCTAGACCTTCCTGCCTCTACATACAGAGGGCTGGGATTACAGGTGGATGCCACAACTCCCCAGCAAATTTTATTTTTTTTTCAGCACTGGGAATTGAACTTAGGACTATAGGTGTGTTGGGCAAGTACTCTCCTACTGAGCTACACTTCCTGCCTTTATTTTGCATCTTGAAACAGGGTCTTGCACTTAAGTTCAGGCTGACTTCAAAATTTCAGTATCCTCCCACCTCAGCCTCTCAAGGGCTGTGATACAGATATACTACTCACCTTGCCTGTCTCATTTCTAAAAGTTAAACTCAACACACTATAGTTGCAACAGAAGGGGCTGGGGAAAAACACACCAGTGGTTGTACAAATCTATAAGGAACTATAAAGACTTGGTGAAGTTAGCATGGAATCCAAATTCCAGAGAATGTCATAAAACAAAACAATTTAACTAGCAACAAATATAAAGAGTACATGAAGGAGATCAAGAGAATTAAAAATCTGTTTCTGGTGATTCAAGAACTTCTTGGAGCCTCTGGGACTTAATGTGACTCTGTGTGGAGGCATTTAGGAAGTTATTCAAGAACTCCAAATATAATAACAGGCATTCAGTTCCTTTTCTACTTACCCAAAATGAGGAAATTACCTGATGGTGGTGGTAGATATGTCTTTGCCCACTAAAAAGTGGTGTTTGCCCTCTCTGATTTGCTGAGCCCATGTGGGATGAAGCCATATTATATGAGAAAAATGGCCAGCATAAACCGCAGGCATAATCCAATTTTCAATACTCAATTCTCTGGTAAAAACAGAAACATTAAAATTATTAATGAATGATTTTTTCCCAAAAATTTTAAGACAGCATATGGCCCCTGACGAGGTCCTGAGGTTGAAATTGTTTATATTGAAATACTGTTTTCCTGTCATTGAACAAGCATTAAGCATGATGGTGGATTGGTATCCTAAGCACCATGCAAGGTGGATTAGCAGTCACCCCTGCCCCAATGCTAGTTTGGCTGAAGAGTATTCCTGGTTTTATTAATTCTTGCTTTAGATATTTTAAAACTTTCTGTGTAGCAAAAAGAGGAGTACAGCAGAACTTCTTTTCTAGACTGGGAAGAAAAGTGCCGGGGACTGAAATGTGAACTGAATTGTCTTTTTCTTTGAAAGATCAGTTAACTGTGGTTATTTAGACATGAGGCTGGATTGCTGGATTTTGCATTCCAGCTAAGCTTTCAGAAGCTTGTGGAGTTTTGGTGGAGGGTCAAAGAATATCACAACCTCACTTATTCATAACACGATCTCATTTTCCAATCACATCTACGACAGCATGAACTTTCATCAGATACTTCAACCAAAACAACATCAGCAACAGAATGAATGAAGCAGAGAACCCAGGTGTTATTTACAGGGGCAAAAGTCAAACCTTAAAAAGTTTAAATTATCCCACCTGATAATTTCAAAAATCTATTTTATTTTACAAAAATAACTTGTTCATGCAGACATAATGATTGATATCTTACAACGAGCATCTGATGGAATGTGAATTATCCACTTCTATCCCAATTTTTTTTTTTAAGATTTATTTTACTTTTAATTACTTGTGCATGCAGAATGTGCACCCCAGTGAAGATGCTTGCAGAGGCCAGAAAATGGTGCTGGGTCTTTCATTGCAGTTACAAAGTGGTTGTGAGCCACTCAGTGTAGGTGCTGGGAACCACACTTGTATCCTCTGCCCAGCATCTCTGCAGCCCCATCTCTATGATTTTAGAAAATGGGAAGGCAACAGGATTTGTGACCTGAAAATAAAATTACTGAGGAAGGACACGGTCAGAGGAAGGATACTCAAGCTGAAGATGTATCATTGCATGATTATGAGACTGTTTTCAGAGACGTCACAATTTCTTGTACCCCACTACCTGGCTTTAAAAGAGGAGAGGAAGGAGAACATATTCAGATTACTTGGCAAGTCTCTTCTAGCACTCCAAATTCTAAATTAGATGCTATCAAATACTGGTTTGGCTTTTTTAAATAATTATTTTTGCAAAGTTTTATTGGAACAACCTCTTGCTGTTTGTTTACACAACATCCATGATTGCTTTCATAGTTCAAAGGCAGGGACAAATAGTTATATATGGATGCAATGGCAGGAAACCTAAATACCACTTGAACGCACGCCCACGCATGCACATACACACACACCACACACAGACCAACACAAAGACACACACACACAAATACGCTCTTAGTTTCTTTTATAGTTGCTATGATAAAATACTTCCATAAAAGTAACAGGTTTTTGACAAGGAGGTCAAGGTAGTAAGTTTGAAGCAGCTGGTCATATCACAGCCATAACCAGGAACCAGATATGAATTAAAGGTGTTGTTCACTTCCCTCTCCCCACTGACACAGATCAGGACCCAGTCAGGGATAGCGCTACTTACAGTGGGTGGGTTTTCCTGCCTTTACTAACTCAATCAAGGCTAGCCCTGTTGCCTACTCCTCAGATAATTCTAGATTCTGCCAAGTTGACCATTAACACTTCACCACAAAGAGGCTTCAATGTATCACTGGCTGCTTCCAAACTGTAATTCTCCAGCCTCAGTGCTCTCAGTGATCACTGGCATCAGCCACCATGCCTGTTCCCTATTTTGCCTCTTTTAGTTTATAAAAACTTGTTCTAAACAAATTAAAAAGGCAAATAAGCAAAAAAAAAAAAAAAAAAAAAAACCACCAAACACGAGTGCGGCAAAATCTATTGTTTCGTCACCTGCTACATCTTATATTTATTCAAACAACATAAAATAAGATGAAAAAAAAAATAGTGTTACCCAAAGAGTGCTTCCTTATCAAACACGGTGTCTGCTGGCATATTTACAGGAATAAGGAGGTCTGGATGTGAGTCAAAATGTAAAAAGCTTATATTACTGGCAGGAAGATGCTTCGAACCTATGGCCCGGTATATGAAAGGCAGAACCTGTAACAGAGACACAGACACACTGAGAATTTCACATTGTCAAGGGCAGACAAAAAAAAAAAAAAAAAAAGAATTTCACAACTCGAAGTACATCAATTTGTTAAAAAGTGAAAAAAATATGAGATGGCTCTGATGAGAATCTCCATCTTTATCACCCAACTGCCCAGAACTACTACTTCAGCACTAACTGAAGGTTTTAGAACATTTTAGGATGGTGGAGCTGGGCTGGATGATGGCTTATTTTCTCCTCTTACAGGTTCACTACTAAATTTGAAAGCACAGACAAACCCAAGGTTGACTTTCTTTTCCTCCTTTTTCTTTTTCCATCAGTAAGTCCCCTTTCTCCACTTTTTTCCTGGGGATTGGGAGGGACTGAACCGAAGGTCTGCGGCAAACACTGTCCCACTGAGTTTCATCTTGACCCAAGCCTCCTACACCCATGGACCTCACTGGTCGTCTACCAAAAGTCCACGTACGGCATCCACGTTACCACAGCACTGCCATAAAACGTTAACAAACGCTGAAGACCTATATAGGATCTACGACTACTGTCCCCATGTCTCAGCCGAGGGTCCGGTTTTTTGGCCAACCCTCTCATTGGCAGGAGGCAGGCGTCAGATACTGGTCTGCAGGCTGCCGGGGTTCGAATCCCTCCTGCCAGGGCTGGGGGCGTCTGCTGCCCGCTCACCTCCTGGTGATCCTCCACCACCCACACCGGGAGCCTGGGGTAGCGCCTGAGGCGCGTGTGGTCGCCTCCAGTGTCACTCATGTCTCCGCGCGACTCAGGCCGCGGTGACCCCGAGGAACCCGGAGAGGAGCCTGGCATCTCCAAGACGCGCGCCCCACGGCCCTTCCGCGGCGGAAACGCGCTCTCACCCGGTTGCGCTTCCGGATTGGAGGACGTCAAGGTGGAGGGGCGGGCGTGAGAACTATAGGCAGTGTCGATTGGTCTACATGCTCGTCACTCCCGCTGGCCCGCCAATCACGGCGCCAAAGGTGCTGCGCTGCGCTCCGGGGAGTTTTCCCTCCCTAGGCTCAGCTTTTTCAGGTTTGCTTTTTAATTCCCGGTGTTTCCTGTTCCGGAGGCGCAGGCGGCGCCTCTGCCGCGGAGGCTGTTGTAAGTACCCAGGCTTGGCTCCGGCGGCCACCCGGGGACTCTCCGTAGGTAAACGGGGGCGCTTGGCGGGTGTTTGGAGAGTGGGTGTCGAGGGTCGGGATTTCAGTGGAGCCCGGGGCTGAGCGAAATGATCCCGGGAGTCGGGTCTGGCAGTTTCGGTGTAGATCTGCCGCCGAGGGCGAAAGAGCGACCTTAGGAACAGATCCCGCAGATATGCAGAAGCGGGATGGGTGCCTTTCATCTGTTTGTGGAGCTCAAGCCACGGTCCAGGCCCGGGGCCGGAGGAGAGGCGAGTCCCGGAGTCCGGTGCTTACCTCGCAGGCTGGCGGGAGATGCAAACAAGTGAACGAGCAATTGAGCATCCGCCAGGAGGAGGCCGGGCTGCAGGGCTCAGCCTTGGTAAAGTGCGGGGTCTCGGTGACTTGTAGTCAGACCCTGAAACTCCGTGTGTCGATTGATGATCCTGGACTAGAAAACTGTTCAGAATACCTTCCCTCGGTTTCCTTGCTTTCAAGTGGCAGCCCAGGAATAGGCATGTTCATTTACATTGAACTCACTGACTTTAATGAAAGTTTGCATCCACCATACAGTAGTTCAGTATTTTTATTTTTTTTTAAGCTTTTCTAACTGTAGAAACATCCGGGATGGTCTGGTAATTTCAATTTTACGCTGTCCAGAGGTGTTAATTACTCTGACTATTGCCCACTTCAAGGTTCAGATTATTCCTTTTTGTTATGTTGGACTCTTTACACCTTTATTTTCTTGTGTTTATCAAGTTGAATTTTTCTCTTTGTAATGTTGGGGATATTTATTATTATTTAAACATTTGTATATGGGTTTTCAGATACTTGAGTGCTGTAGGTTTGTGAGCCATATTGGTCTATAGAGCTTGGGGCAGTGCCACACGTGTATTGGGTCAGTAAATGATGCATGAATCAGTGAAAATACCTGCCTCCCACGTGGTTTCACTAATGCAAATTTGTGGGAGAAGCAGAGGGAAAATTCAAACTTAGTGACTCAGAAACATGCACAACGAGGAGAGTAAAACCTGCCTGCCATTTATTGTGTGTAGAAGCTGTGAAGGATGCAGAAGTGACTGAATGAAGCCATGCTTTCAAGGATCTAGTAACATTGAAGTTCAGCATGGGTACCCGTGACTGTTACATGAGGCAGTTTCTGGTAAGTTCTATAAAAGAAGTGAGTAGTTTGTAGACTAGGGTGAAAGCTACACAGAGAAACTCTGTCTTGAAAAACAACAACAAAACAAAACAAAACAAAAAAAAACCAACAACAAAAAGAAAGTATAGATTAAGCAGTAGCAATCTAGAAGAGATGAGATTATATTCCTTTAGGAAATTAAGAATGCTTCACAAATGAGGTTCAGTTTGGTGGATGAATAGGAATTCATTGGACAAATTAGGGAAGTTTCATGGTAGTGCTGGGTATGGTAACTGTTGGGGCTGAGGAGGGCTTTGTGGAGAAGGAAATAGGGTGATGAGCCTGGGAGAGGTTGGGTTCAGATGCCGAGCATGGAATTTGTACTCAGTGCTTTTGGTTGTGAGAAGCCTGAGATGGAATAGTAGCTCTTTGGCTCCCAAGTTTAATCACAAGAGTATTGGGATGAGAAGTCATCATTAATCATATTATTTGGTAACTATGTTTGTTAAACAGTAATTGATAGAGCTCAGTTATTTGTAATTTTTTTTTAACCTTGTCAGTTTGAGAATAAAGACAAGCATCTTTTAAAAATCTCTTTTTTATGTATGTGTATTTATGTGTTCGTATATATATATATATATATGTATACATACACATATGTGTATATATATGTATTAGTCAGGTTTCTTTATAGTTAAAGAATTTCTACATGTATAGAAAGGGGATTTATTATAATGACTTAGAGACTGTGGTCCAGCTACCCCAATAATGGCTGGCTAGGACTGGAAAAGTTCAAGAATCCAGTAGTTGCTCAGCTGGTCTTCATTGTATGCTGGAGTCCTGAAGAAGTGGGCTCTAATGCTAGTGAAGGAATGGACTTGCCAACAAGACGAGAGCAAGCAGGCAAACAGCAAACTTCTTCAGTGTCTTTATGTAGGCTTCCAGCAGAAGGTGTGGTCCAGATTAGAACTAGATTACAGATCGTATTAAAGGTGTGTCTTTCTTGTTCAAACTTCTGCTTTCAAAGTAGATCTTCTCACTTCAAATTAAGAAAATCCCTAACAGATGTGCACCCTGTATAGTTAGTTGACAACCAAGAAATAGCCATTACAAGTGTGCTTACATCAGTGGTTGTCAACCCGTGGGTTGAGACCCCTTTGGGTCAACGACATAATTTTATGGTTGACGGTCACTACAATGTGAGGAGCTGTATTAAAGGGTTACTGCGTTATGAAGGTTGAGATGCCCTGGTCTACGTATTTGTATGTATGCATGTGTGCAGGTGCCTCTAGAGGCCAGAAGAGGGCACTGTATCTCCTGGCAATTGCGAGCCACCCAATGTGGGTGTTGGGAACTGAACTCTGCAAGAGCAGCAAGTGCACTTAGAAAGATGTTTCCACATTAAAGCTTTTTACATTTAGTATTTGTATGTTTTTAAAAGCATTTTGCCAAAGTACAGTTTGTGTTTACAGTGTCTGTGAGGGATGGAGGACGTCTTTCCTTCAGTCTTGTACTGAACCAGAGGTGGGAGGTAGCTGTGCTTTTGGTCAATTTAGCAGTAGTTAGTTTTGAGTTAGTACAAGTAACGACTACAACTTACAGCTTGCTTGGTAACTTGAAGATAGTTCAGTATTTTCCTGATTTTGTTAATAGGCTAAGCATTTTTGAGGGTTTAAAATTATTGTTAAGATAATTGTAAACAAAATTCCTCCTTTATAGCGTTGGCAGTTGTGAAAATGTGTTTAACTATTTTATTCTTTCTGTCTTGTAGAAGTTATGTTCTGAGTGGAAGATGTAGCCTAGCCTATGTAGATGATACATCACCATGCAAGGGAATACATGGTAAGTGGATATGCTGGGAATGGCACTTTAGGGAGACGAAAGGAGAGAGAGTAAGTAGTGGGCCAGAGGGTGGGAAAGTTCAGGTACAGGGAAGGGCGGGAGCTGTTCATTCTTTTACCTATGGTCATTATATATTACAGGTTTGTGTACAGGGCTAAGAACTAGACCAGGAGAGTTAGTGAAACTCTCCCTTGATTGGGCTTGCAGCTCTTGACTGCAAGTAGGCATTGGTGGTAGAATTATATAATTAAGTGGTAGACTAGTGCTTGTAGGACCTGCTAAGAAGTAGCACAAGAGTATTTTGAGAGTGGGAAATCCAAGGAAGGTGTATTAGTCAGGGTTCCCTAGAGTTAAAGAATTAATCGAATGAATCTATAGAAAGGGGTTTATTAGGATGACTTACAGACCAATGTCCAGCTAATCCAATAGCGGCTGGCTGTGAATGGAAAGTTCAGGAATTCTGTAGTTGCTCAGTCTGTGAGGCTGGGTATCTCAGCTGCAGTACATGCTGGAATGGAAAAGAGGTAGGCTGTCATGCCAGTGCAGGACTGGGCAAGCAGGCAAAGAGCAAATAAGGCAATTCTTATAAGAGAAAGCATGCCATTGGGAGCTTGCTTATGGTTTCAGAGGGTTAGTCCATGATAGTCATGGCAGGAACCATGGTGGCAGAGAGGCAGGCTGAACCACAGGCAGGCAAGGAGAGAGAGACAGAGACTGGGCCTGGTGTGGGCTTTTGAAACCTCAAAGCCCACCCCCAGTGACACTGTTTTTTTTAACAAGGCCACACCTCCTAATCCTTCCCAATCAGTTCCACTAACTGGGGCCAAGCATTCAAATATATGAGCTTGGGGGGGGGGGCACGACATTTTCATTCAAACCATCACACTTAAGACTTACTTTAATAATGTCCATGACTTTTTTTAAACCTGGTTACTTCCTTGCAGCCCTTTCTCCCATGTATCACCACATAGAAATATAAGGCTTTTGAGGAAACAAAAAATGCTTAGTCTATAGTAGCATGTTTGAACATTAAGAAGCAGAGAAAGTGCAAAGTTGAGGCAGGACTGGTGGCCAAGGCAGGTATTTTATATTGAGTACACTGGGCATTCATTCAAGTGCTGGTGGCGAAGGTGTGGTGGTAGGGAAAGATGGGAAATGGCGGATGGGGAGTGGTGGTTCCCCCAGGTTTCAGAGATGGGGCTCCAGGTGCTTATAGTAACATAAGCTTTGCTAGGAACAGGAAATTGGGATGGGGTTGGATGCAGATGAGCTTGGTAAGTTGTTACAGCATTTGTTCCGAACCCTCAGAGCCCACCTCCTGTGACTCACATACTCATGGAAGACCGCATCTCCAATAGTGCCACCCCCTATCCATCTGTGGGGGCCGCTTTCATTCAAACCACCACAGGGCTCATTGGGATAGTCTCGTATTTGGGAAACCCTGTTTACATAGTGATGTGTGTGTATCAACATAGTTACATACAGAGGCCATAGGATGACCTTGGGTTTCATTTTTTTCCTCAGGTGCCACCCACTTTTTTTTTTGAGTCAGGCTCTCTCACTGTATGACTGGCCAGGGAGCCTTAGGAATCCACCTGTCTCTGCCTTCCCAGCTGTGGGATTACAAGCACATCCACCATGTTTGCCTTTTTCATGTATACTAGGGCTCAAACTTGGGTCTTCGTGTTCACCCTGTCCTGTGACTTAACTTTATGTTTTGTTTTGGGACAGGGTTTTTC